GCACGCAGTGTGATCAAAGCTCCAGCTGTTGTTTTTAGGTGCAACATGTAAAATCAATAGCACCATCTCAGCCGCCATACTTTAATGATAACCTGATGCTACCCTTGATCAATACAGAGAGCTTCAGAATAGTTATCCCTTCTCCCACGGGGTTGTTTGCCTCTTAACCCAATTTCAGTCAACCTCCTGTGATCATCAGTACTTATTGACCCTGTTAGACACTTTCTTCTTTCTTCCTAATATCTTAGGGTAGTGTATTTTGTAGTTCCACAATGTCTATGGAAGCAGAACAGAAAGGGGAGGAAGATTATATCCACCAGCCAGTCTGACGAGCTTAAGACAAAGAACACTGCAGGGTTCAAATACATGGAAGTTGGATGTAGATTTCAGAAGTAGATATATGAATGGACAGACGGCCCAGTTTGTGTAGAACCTCAAATGAGTGAGTAAAAGGTAAATCTAGCATGAATTCTCCTGCCATCTAAGCACTGAGTTTACAATGTTTATTGGACAAACAGGTGCAGAACAGTGAGGGATGAAAATCAATAGATAGCTTACAAACTCACTCCTACAAAAATATTTATTATATAAAATCAATCTCCAGGGGAGAAAGGGAGTACAATATCTTCCTATCCGCGTGGACTTCAAACTTGATAGGACTAGTTATAATCCAGAACAAATTTGTAGCACATTAATGAGAGCCGATGGTTATTTTATTCTAAATCACAAAAGAAGAGAAAGGAGCCCCATCTGTTTACTCCAGACAGCCAGGAAGCAGAAGAGAAAGAAGGACATTCAAAATAACAATCATTAGAGTCATCATACTATTTTGAACATGTTGTAGGCATTTCTAGTAAAGGAGTGGTTTTCACCATTGTTTCCTATCCCTGAGAAGGGAGGAATACTTTAAATCTAGAAAATGTATTGCATACAAAAAAAACACCTCCCTTTTTACGACCCTGTAATCCCTTACTATAAGGTAGAATTGGGGCGACTGGATGGAGCTGAGCATTTACTAGCCGGATGCCCTTCCTGGTGCCATGCATAGTTTGCAGCGGATATTTTTTTCTTTGAACCCTAGGGGAGAAATATCTGCTGTTACCTAGGATTGAACTCTTCACTACTAGGCCACCATGCTGCTCAGAAAATGTATTGCATGCAACAAGTGTATAATTCAATTTTCTGCATCCCAAGACGGACCCGAGAAGAAGCCGCAATCCTGAATCCATTGCAAGCATCGCTGTCAGACAAGGTCAAGAATTCTGAGTTAGTTTGGAAATCAGAAACATGTTTATGTCTACAACTGCCAGTGACTGGTCAGGATGGAAATATGAGAGTTGAAATACAACATATCTGATGAACGTCAAGATGCCTGCCATAGACATGAACCAATAGGCTTGCAAGATGATGGGATGTATTTATCCTGTAAGTAAGCCCTGTTTGTTTTCATTGGTTGGATTAATACATAAATCCATTACCCTGCCTACATAAACCACAAACATAAACCCAACTGCACCTTCATTAATAAAACCTATAGCTTGTTTTCCCCACAGCTGAGTCACAATAATCTGGGTAACATACCACTAAACCATAAGCCATAGTTTACAAACTCACTATCAAACAATAAGCCCAATAAGCATCTTTACATTTGTAGCAGTCTGACATTTTTTGTTTAAAAATCATTTCAGGTCAAGGAAAGGGACATATGTCAAAGTGGAAATGTTACACCCAAGTCAATGAGAAAACCTTAGCCCAACTACCACTTGGAATACAGCCATCCTACCTACAAACTCACTAGAAAAAACAGCAGCCAAAGACAGCTATCTCAGCAGCTAATATTCTACAGGCAAACTGAATGAGAACTGAGGAAATTAATTATCTGTAGCATTGCATAATGTTTCAGTTAAGATGGAAGCAGAATTGCCAGATATCATCAAGAATCAGAAGGATCACCAATGTGGGGGTTCCCTTGCACCCCACCCTTTCCAAGATAGTCCTTCTCTTTAATAAGACTCTTCAGTATCAGTGTGGGGAAAGACAATCATCTTATTATGTGTTCTCATGAGAAAAGGCCTTCTTCCTTGTCCCACAAAGAAGCCATAATGTCAGTGGCACCTTTTCACTCCATGACAAGAACTGCAAATGCATTGAACAGGGATCCACAGCTCTCAATGCAGGCCACCAGGCCATATACAGGGAGTTCTCAACTTACAACAGTTCATTTAGTGACTGTTCAAAATTACAACAGCACTGGAAAAAAACTGACTTATGATCAATTTTACACTTACAATTGTTGCAGCATCCCTCTGGTCACGTGATCAAAATTCAGATGTTTGTCAACTAACTCATCTTTATGACGGTTGCAGCATCTCGGAGTCACGTGATCCCCTTTGGCAACCTTCTGACAAGCAAAGTCAGTGGGGAAGCCAGATTCACTTAACAACCGTGTTACTATCTTAACAACTGCAGTGATTCAATTAACAACTGTTGCAAGGAAGGTCGCAAAATGGGGCAAAACTCACTTAACAAACATCTCGCTTAGCAACATAAATTTTGGGCTCAATTGTGGTCGTAAGCCGAGAACTACCTGTAGTTGCTTGAATCACTCTGAAGGCCACCTGGCTGCTAGCAATGATGAAAGTAATGCATACGTGCATTCAAAGGAGCAAGATCTCTCTCAACCCAGCTCTATCTCCAGAACTTCTGTTGGCTTGCAGACATGATGACCCCATTTCTTCTGATGAGCACATGTCTTTATTCTAAACAGAAAAGAGGCAACTGCAACTATCTGCTTGGTTGTATCTGCTCAGCTCCCACTTTCAGCTGGCAAGACAAGGCAAGAGAAACAGAGAGGACCATTACATTTTCACTAAACTGGATCCCATCTAAACAACAATAAAAAATCTTTCACTCAGAAGCCTCCCTAGGAAAAATCTGGTAGTGGTGGGAATATAATAATATTTTATCAGAGTTTTCCAAAGCTACTCAATTTATCTGCTATGCCCCAGTCTCAGAAAGAGAATGGATGCCATTAAAATTCTTCGCCAAACATCTCCACTCCTTTTAAATCTCACAGGAGAATAATAAAAGAGTCCTTTTGCACAAGATTATCTGTCTGGTATTTTATCTTCTCCTCCCCCCCAAGACTTGGTTTGTTTGGGGGCAACCACTAAAAGTGAAAGCAGACCAGAAGAAAGAAGAGGAACAACAATGCTTCTAAAACATAGCCATCAAGAGATTTTGGTTAAAGGGATCCCTGCAAGCTAACCAAATATTTTTTAATATATGCATCAGCTGGTGTACCACAGAAATACCAGACAATTTTGGCCAAAAGCCCCAGCTGGAATAAAACTTTTTTTTTTTATTGTAGCCTTTGAGCAGAGGAGAAGGGGCAGAGAAAAAAATAAATAAAAGCAGGCTTCAGACCCAGAACATTTTGCTTCATAAGAATTTGATTACAAACCACCTACATTTTGGACAGACCTCAGGAGGGCCAAGTCCTGAGTTTGTCTCCTTTGAGGATTTTAACAGAACTTCCCTGCCTTAAGCTTGTTACCTTTTTGACAGCCAAAAACAAAGAGCCCCCTTTTGAGCATTTTTGGTTTTTTTCTGCCACTTGTTGGCAAAAACCAAAAAGGGATTTAGAGAAAGGAAACCATTTATTCTGGGCAGGAAAAATATATACAGGAAATGGGCACAAATCAATCCATTTTGGACACAGATCAACCCATTTCCTATGCACAGAACCACTCCTAGAGAATATCATGTGGTTAGGTAAAGTTGGTCTAGCAAAGACTCTGACTGCTTTGGGGAGACTTCAAAGACCCCCAGGGAAAGTGAGACTTCACAACAGGAGCTCACAATGCATCCTTCTCTTGCATTTCCCACTCACTTTCCCTAGAACCTAAATAAAAAGTGGGGTCAGTAACACAACAGCATCCCCCCCCCCCCATGCTGTCTATGCTTCTGAGATTCACAGGGAAGTAATAGTTAAGGAGAATCAGTGAAGGAAGGAATCAGCCCAGGAAAGCTCTGGGAGTGATTACAGAATAAGAAAGGTGGAAGCTCTCCCCCTCCCTCTTCCTTCCCTGCCCCCACCCTCACCCCACCCCAGTCACTACAGTAAATCTCAAAGGCCCTTTAGTTCCAGGTTAACTAAGGAGGGAAGAAAGGAAGGGTGTGTGTAGAGGTATCAAGGAACAAAGTCCAAATCCCAACAGCTTTGCCTATTCGGCTTGGCTTGACTAAGTATTTGTACAGGCTATGATCCGCTCCTCGCTTACTTGGGAGTAAGTTTTTTTAGACTCCGTAAGGAGCCCTTTCTAAAGGCACCGAAGAGCCACTAACTGGCATTCCTGAGGTGAGGAGAGGGCAGGAAAGGAGCCATCCACACAGACGGCGCGGTTCTTCAGCAGCAAGGGATTGCGGAGTCTTGTGAAACATTCGCTGCGTGATCCCGAGAGGAGCCGAGAGAGGGGGAAAGGGAGGGGGGATTGGTCAGGGGACTTTCTACAATACACCAACTAGGCAAGTATACTCGGGAGTAAACGAGGTCTACGCCCCTCAGCGCTTACAGCTTACAGGCACTCGCGCAAGAGAGTTTTTTTTTTTTTTACAACCGCTGCAAAAACGGGGGAGGAACACAGCAAAGCTGCCCCGCCGGCGCACACCAAGCGTAAGGAAAGCAAACCGGGCATTTCCAAGATAAACACGCCAATTTCAAACTCCTGTCTCTCTTCTTCAGCCGGAGCCAGAGCTTCTGGCTCGATTTCTGCGTAAACCTTCGAAGTTCGCGGGAAGAAGAGACAAGGCGAGCCGCGGCATAAACAAGTTATGTGGGGGGGGGCAAACACGCGCAGGCACAACTGCCAAGCCGGGTGAAGCGGAAGGGAAGGGGGCTGGAAAGAAAGGGATAGAAGAGAGACCCCCCCCAAGAAACGGAACCTTCAACGGGGGGGGGGGAGGTCCGGGAAAACTGAGCGAATCGCTCCGGAACTGACCTGTCGGCGTTTCGGTCTCCAAGGAGCAGATCTGGAAGGTGAGCATGAAGATCAAAGCGCGGGTGCCCGGCATCTTGCATCGGGACAAGCCTGGATCCCCACCTCCCGTCCCCCCCAAAAGTTATCCTTTCCCCCAGCGTCCTCTTTCTCGCCTCTCCGTCGGTCTTCTGGCCGCGACGGGCGGAGAGCTGCCTTCGCTCAAAAACGCGGCGGAAAGTTACCCCGACAAACCGTGGATTCCACACAGCTGAAACAGCAGCGAAAGCCTGATTGGAACCGAAAAGCTTCGGCAGCGGGTGGGGGGAAGAGCAGAGGGGAAAAAAAAAAAAAAAAAAGCACGAACGAACGAACTGCGAGCCACCGAAGTGACGTCAGGGCTTCTTCCAGCGAAGGGAAAGCGAAACGGGGAACTGGGGGGGGGGGTTGCTTGGAGCGGGAGAAAGCGGCCCGGTTTGGAAAGGCAAGGCTGCCTCCTGCTGGCAGAAGGCAGGAGGGGCGAGTGGGGAAGCGAGCCAGACTGGGTTCCCACGGTTGGCAAGTAGTATAGTGTAACTCAGGGGTCTTCGAACTTGGCCCTTTTATGACTTGTGGACTTCAACTCCCAGAATTCCTCAGCCAGTGTGCCTGGCTGAGGAATTCTGGGAGTTGAAGTCCACAAGTCATAAAAGGACCAAGTTGAAGACCCCTGGGTAAACTCGTGCTTTTTGGCTGAGCCAGACTTGATGCCGGGAAAATCCAGGCTCAAATTGGCTGGACTCGCTAGACCGCAAATGTGGTTGGTGTGTTTGCGAGGCGAAAGTTGGAGGAGCAAGCAAAACAAAGGTCAAAATGGGGGGGAGGGAGGGTCCGCACGGTAGGGTCAAAAAAGTCAAGATGGCGGCGACCGCCGTGGGATCAGAACTCGGCTGGATTTAGATGTGTGTGGATCGCACCCCCCGTCCTGCGCGCGAGCCTGAAAAGTATTGATCCAGGCATGTTATCAAGGCGTCCGTTTCGCTATTTGCTGTAAGGAACGGGCAGAAGGTGCGACTGTTTGGGTTGGCTATGGGGCTTCTCAGCATCCAGGTCATGGTTGTCCCAAAGATGCTTTTTCAGAAGGCAACTGGACTTTTGTTTTTCTTTGAAGATGTTTCCTTCTTATCCAAGCTTCAAAGCTGAAGAAGCTTCTTGGGTGAAAAGCGAAATGTCTATAAAGAAAAACAAAGTCCAGTTGCCTCTTGAAAAAGCACCTTTGGGACAACTGTTTGGGTTGTGAAAAGTGAGTGCAGCCGTGGGCAGGGGTGGTAGCTAAGGGTGAGGGGGAACCAACTCCTTCCAAAGCTTCTTTTAAACTTTTAATGGATTTCCTGCCACAGAAAAGACGTGAATCTTCTTTCAATGGAGAAGAAGAGAGTCTGAGTTATTTATCTCTCTGCAGCTCTTGTGATCCCTCTCAATTTAAGTAACCGACTGCCACCTTCTGAGCCCAGAACAAATTGATCTAAACTGTGGTCCTTTCAAAAAAAATCACCTATACATTTATGTATCTATTCACAGATGGGTAGTACTAACATGCAGACAGCTGAAGGTGTCTTGAGTACATCACATTAATAGCCTGGTGTCAGCACTTGGTTGGTCTGGACTGAGCTCAAGCTAAATAGGGTCAGATCTGGTCCTTATTTGGGTGGGAGATCACAAGGAAACCTTGAAGTTGCAAGTAAGACTGGGAAAGGGGAGGGGGGAATCATCCCAGAGGTGGCAATGCAAGCCACTTCTGTGCTGTTGCCAAGGAAACTAAATGAAAGTGACCATGTGGTCACTAAGAGTCAAGAAAACCAGTTGGGTGGCATGGTGGAGGGCTGGACTACAAACCAGGAGACTGTGAGTTCTAATCCTGCCATAGGACTAGAAAGCCAGCTGGGTGACTTTGGGCCACTCCTCAGCCCAACCAACTTCACGAGATTGTTCTGGGGGGCATAGAGAGTGTTAGGTTAGTTGCCTGGAACTGTACAGGAAAATCAGAATATAGATATAATGAATAAGAAATAGAATATGAATAAGAGCAGGGTTTCTCATCCTTGGTCACTTTAAGATATATGGACCTCAACTCCCAGAATTCCCCAGCATGCTTAGGTCTTAAATTGGCTGAGGATGAGAAACATTGGTTTAGACCAGGGATCTTCAAAGTTGGCCCTTTTGTGGACTTCAACTCCCAGAATTCCTCAGCCAGGCAAGCTGGCTGGGGAATTCTGGGAATTGAAGTCCACAAATGTTAAAGTGGCCAAATCTGAAGACCCCTGGTGTATCATATAGTCTTTAAGAAAATCCGACTTCCCCCACTGACTTTGCTTGTCGGAAACTGGTTGGGGAGATCACAGATGGCCATCCCATGACCCCAAGATACTGCAACTATTCTAAGTGATGCCAGTTGTTAAGCGCTTGAATTTTGATCATGCCACTCTGAGAATACTACAACATTTGTAAGTGTGAGGACTGGTCTGGAGTTATTTTTTCAGTGACTTGGCTCAATAACAATAACTGCGAGGGGGATCTTGGAGTTCTAGTGGTCAGTCACTTAAATATGAGCCAGCAGTGTGCTGCAGCTGCCAAAAAAGCCAATGCAGTCCTAGGCTGCATTAACCAAAGTATAGAATCAAGATCACATGAAGTATTAGTACCCCTTTATAAGGCCTTGGTAAGACCATACTTGGAGTACTACGTTCAGTTTTGATCACCATATTATAAAAAGACTTATAGAGACTCCAGAAAGAGTGCAGAGAAGAGCAACAAAGATGTTTATGGGATGGAGGCTAAAACATATGAATAACAGTTGCAGGAATTAGGTATGTCTAGTCCACGGGTGTCAAACTCAATCACATCACATGACGTATTGTGACTTTTTTTACCTTTGTGGAGCTGAGGTAGGCCTGGCCTGTTTGTGACACATCCAGCCCGCAGGCCATCAGTTTGACACCCCTGGTCTAGTTTAATGAAAAGAAGGAGTAGGGGCAACATGATAGCAGTGTTGCACAAAGAAGAGGGAGTCAAGCTATTCTCCAAAGCGCCTGAAGGCAGGACAAGAAGCAATGGATGGAAACTAATCAAGGAGAGAAGCAACCTAGAACTAAGAAATTTACTGACAGTGAGGACAATTAATCAGTGGAACGGCTTGCCCCCAGTAGTTGTGGATGCTCCATCACTGGAGGCTTTTAGGAAGAAATCATACAGCCATTTGAAATGGTATAGGACTTCCTGCTTGAGCAGGGGCTTGGATTAGAAGACCTCCAAGGTCCCTTCCAAATATGTTATTCTGTTATTCAACGCCTTTGTGTCTTTGTATAGTTACTAAACAAATGGCTGTAAGTTGAGGACTACATGTGCTTCATAAGAGTGAAATTAAGATCAAATATAAAAAAATGCATGTTCCATGTTACAGCAAAGAAACAAACGTTCAGTAGGGAATAGGTTTGGTTTCCCAGATGGCCAAACTTTTTAAATTACATGGAAGGAAATCTCTCTGTGTGTACCGTACTTTAAAAAGAAATAAGGAAAGAAAAACATCATATTCATTGCTGAAAATTGTGCAGAGCTGGAAATCATGATTCTTTCCTTTAATTGCAAGGAAGGATATGAGATGCTCTTAATTCTTTTGGCATAATTGTTATTCCAACAACTTCCCCCTTCTGTTAACCAGGATATTACAGAATGAAGGAAAAGAGGCCGCAGAAAAGAATTCAGGAAAAGTCCATAAAGTTATTACATTGTTTATTGTTTATCATTGACCATCTCTAAAACAAAGCACACGGTGAAACAGCAAGTAAAACCCACAGTTAAAACTGATTAAATATATAACTGGCATGGACAAAGTTTTGGCAAACAGCAAAACAACACTTAGACATGTTCTGAGAAATAAATCACATAGATTGGATAGTAACCACTGTAAATAAAATGGATGGCCTGGAAAACTGGCTAGGTGAGGAGTTACTGGCTGCAGCCAAGCATGTTTCTAATGGAGTTAGGTAACAAAACGGGTGTGTGTTTCAGTGAGTCCTTTACCACAGGAGTAAGCTCTTTGTCCAAATAGGATACCCCATAATTTCCCCTTGAGAACAGCAGTGGAGAGATCATTCAATCTTCCCAGGGCTGTTCTGAATTTGGGAATGGGAACCATTAAGTATTTGGCTTATGTAGCTGGCTTGGAAAAAGATAAATGACTGCCCAAGAAAATATCTTGGGGTATGGCAGCCAAGTCAGATTGAGCTTCCAGATCTTGGCATGTTGTTTAAGAGCCGCCTCTACACATTCAGATCAGGGAAGAAAAATTGACAGGATTCTCAGCCAGTTTGTGAGCAACAAAGTGCCAGAAAAATCTATCAGGCCCCGATTTGAAGTTAGAAAAAAACACATTGTCTTTTCCAGAAGAAGCAACTCTGCCAGAACCAATTCCAGCACTGAATTAGAAAATGGTGTGTGTTAAGCTGGGGCTAAGGGAGGGATAAGAAGGAAAATTGCAATCAAATTGTTTCTTCCACAGCACGTGTCTCCAAACTTGGCAACTTTCAGACTTGTGGACTTTGAGTCGAAGTCCACACGTTTTAAAGTTGTCAAGTTTGGAAAGCCCTGTTCTACAGTGCTCCAGAATGGCTTCAGATATGTGAATAATAGAAGAAGCAGCTTCAAGGAGGGAAGAGAATCTGATTAAAATTGGCTGGATAGGCAAAATTATATAGTCCAAATCAAACTATGATTTACTTTCATCCTCTTAATAAACTGCTACTAAGTTCCTCTTACCGTTCTTACAGGAAGAACCCTTCCCATAAGTCTTGGCTACCGTCCATTTCATCACAGCAATTCCCATTGTTTTCTGGTGTGGCTGTTTATTCACATAGCAGGGAGGCAATGGAGAACAGCATGATTAATTTGCTTGGTTATTTTTTTTCCACCCCACACTGATCACATGGTGTGGTGAGTTTAACTTCCCCAACATTTTCCCGCTTGATCAAAGCTAACAATGAGATATTCAAAAAAATACCTGTTGAAATCCTGTATTGCAGAGGTCCCCAATCTTTTGGGTACCAGGGACCGGTTCCGTGGAGAGAGATTTTTCCATGGACGGAGGGTGTGTGGTTTTGTGTGCTGCCTGCATCCCGCTGATGGGGATTTGCGTGTTTGTGCAGCCTGTTGCTGGCATGCTGCAGCCTGGTACTGGTCCACGGACCAGGGGTTGGGGACCCCTGATGTATTGCATGAATGTTTAGATATGGTTGACAATCAGAATCACCAAGTTGGCTCAATTCCTTATGAGACATTCAGTGGAGAAACAGAAGCAAAATGGCCCATTGCTGTT